GCATGATCTCTGGGTGTGCAGCTCCATGAAGCTTCAAACGGTGTTGCAGAAAAGCGAGTGGAGACACTACTTTGCGGGAAATGGCAAGACAGCAGCGTGTCCACATTTGCTCACCTTTCAACAAGCCTTCTGATGCAGAGGTCCCGTGAATGTCAGCTCTTTGAGTACCATTTGGCTTTGGCCCGCCATATATTTTTGGCCAGAATAGCTTCGTCATCAGGAGATGCTTGAGTGGCGAGGCTACCATGGCAAGCAAATGTCTTTCCGTGGGCAGCAAGCAGCTTTGGGTGAAACACGCTACCAAGAATGTAGCCACAGCATGTCCATCACGATGTGAGGGCATGCAATTGTCAGCGACAGCCTTCTTTCCATGTGCAGTCGGCAGGACGAGCAGCTATGTTTGAGGCGCTGGACCTTCGAATTGAGGACCCCTGGCTGGCGCAGCATGCCCGGCTGTGTTGCGCCCGAGCGCTTTTGGCATCAGCGATCCCGCAGGAAGAGATCATTTCTGGGAATGTCTCTGACGTTTGTTTCGGAGTGGGCCCCAACGAGGACAATGCTCCGTAGGGTCGTATTGGGATCATGCGTGTGCCCTGCTTGATTCGTCCAGCTGCATTCTGATGTTCACAGCTCCCACATCGCCTGATTCAGTGACCGCTCCATCTTTGCAGGAGCGGCTTTTCAGCTCCAGGTGCCACCGGCTTCTGTTTATACAGGGCCCGGAGAAGTTATTGCACTAAGCGCACGCGCCTGACTGCCAGGGCCAGTCTGGCCATGGCTAGCCCCGTGTTTCACGCGATGTTCTTCGGCCTGTGGCAGAAAGAGGCCGGACATTACAGGTTCGATGGTGCCTTTTTCCAGAGCCGTACCTCCAGAGCGTTGCCAGGCAGGACCGTCTCCGAGGAGGCAGATGCGTGAGCATTCTGGAAACGACTGACAGTCTGCGTTGAACTTAGCTGAGGCGGATGGACTTTGTGTGTCGCTTAGCATGAGTTCTCCTTCTTCGTGCGGTGCAACCGAAAAATGTTGGCTGGCTGCATGTCCCACAAGGAATTGAGCGGAAATCACGCATCTTCTGCACCGACGTCCCCCCGAAGCCAGGCACTCAGAGCCTGAAACGGAGGCTTTGTGATGGACACGCGGCTTGTGAGATCAGGTCACGAAACGGAGCCCTTGGATAGATTCAGCCGCGACCCTAGAGGGCTGCAGCTCAAAATTTGAGGTCCGGACGGGCCAAAGTTCAGAGGGGATCCAACCCCCCCGATCCAGACCAAAGCGCGGGTGATCCGGACCGATCCAGACGCCCGGATCGCCGCGGAACAATCCATACCCGCTTTTGAGCCATAGCCAGAGACCAGGGTTTGATTTGCCGCGGTCCGCGTGAAACCTCTGGCAGCTCTCGAATTAAACTGGCCACCCAGTGTGAATCCATGCAAGGGTAAATGGCAATGATTGACGCACAAGCCGAGTAACGACATTGCTGGCAAACTAGCGCTGGTTTGCGCACAAGCCGGTGAGTAGATGCATAACAAATGAATATTGGACAGACACATGTTGTCTAGATGTACTTGTGAGTTGTATGCACGCTTTTATTTCCCCACACATCGCTCACAGCTATGGTCCAGGCTATGGTGGTTCTAATTTCAAGAAGGGGAGGCTGGTGATGTCTCCCGCACAGGGCGCCATTGTAGTCTTGGCAGCCGGAGCCTGCGAGAGTTGCATGGGGAATCCTTCCTGGGGTTGGCGCCCACCGTGTTGGTTGTAGTATATTCGGTGTGCTGTGAGAAAAGCGTATCATGTGGAGCACCACTATATACTTGTGAATTGTATGATGAGACGTCCTTTGAAGACTTGCTTTGGTGCACGGACATTGTACTTTGTTTTGCTAAGGCTGTTATGTGTCCAGTCAAGTTTGGTGACTGGGCGGGTAGGGCTCTCTCCTTTGCGCTCGCAAGTCCGGCCCACGTCCAATGAAACCCGCCATGCTGCTCCGGCAGGCTCCCACGCCTGGACGACAGGACAACAGCATGGGAGCCCAGGTTTGCCAAACCCCGTCGCAGTCAACTTGCATTGCACTGATGCTCAGGTTTCGCCGTGGGCAGCATCATTATGTGGCTGTTTCGGATGTTGAGCCAAGCGCGCAGGGTGCTCGGTTGCCTTCGCGTATGTAACTCGCACGCCGGCAACACGCCCAGGTTCAAATGCATGCTGCGCTATGTTCATCATTTGGACCCCATGCTGTCGCTGGACAACGTGGGACTTGCCTTTGCCACACCCGACCGTCTTTTGCATGCCAGTGCCAGGCCATGCAGGTGTACAGGGCAGCAGACAAATACCAGATTGATGGCTTGCTCGGTGCTCAGATGCTCAGGAGTATTTCTTGCGCAAGTCGCCAGATTGGCTTGGCTTCGCTAGTGTTCAACTCAGGCTCGAGTCCTGTGGGGCGTTCATCGAGAAACACGTTGACCCCAGCAATGTGATGCAGGCCATGCCACAACCAGCTTGATCGTAGCTTGATTCACACAATCCTCGTCGCAATAGTTCGCAGCTTGACTCGGATGACGCACCCCTTCGCTTCCGACTGAATGAGACAGGACTCAGGAAGACATCCTAGCTAAGACCACTATCCTGATCAGGGTCTCAACATTTTTTCTGAAGGAACGATGCCATTTGCTTTGGTTTTTGATGTCGGGGACGCCGGTGATCAAGGGCTGGTCGATGCAGGTCCTCGGGCTGTTTGATGTGGCTTGCCGCCTGGGGCTGGAGCGGTGCGGTCGCGGCGCGTGAGCGCGCGGTGCACGATTGCCCCCCCCCCCCTTCAGGTACTCCAAGAGCTTCCTGGAAATTCTGGGTGAGCTATCGCGGGTGCAGACTCGGCAGGAGCGGGCAGGGATGTCAGGCAAGTTGAACAGAGGAGCAATTCTGGTTGCATCCGTGATGCTTTCAGAGAGCATGATTTTTTGACATGGCTGCGCGGTGGGGTATCCAGGGTTTCTTGCCCCTGGCAGGTTCTTCACGCCCAAGAATTCCTAGAGCTTCACACGGCGTGCCGGACTTAGACGCACATGGTGACATATGCTTTGCCAAGATTGCACCGAGGGTCCCTTGAAAAGGATATCGATCTTCCAGGAACACTCCCACAGATGCTACGCTTCCTCCAACTAACATGGCACCTGTGGGGAGGCACTTGGAAGACCAAATCAATTTTGAAGGGACTCCCTGGTAGTCGCCATGTTAGTGGGAGGGAAGGTATGTTGCTGGGAGAGAGGGCAAATGCTCAGGTCCTTGGCCACTTTGCTCAGCTTTGATGGGCTGTGCATCGACGAGGTGCCAAGCTGCCAAGCGTCAAATCCCGGGCTGTGCGGGTAAAGCGCTCACTGTGTCGACCAAAATGCTCCGGCATCCATCATCCATGCGCTTTGGCCCATGCCGCTTTGCAATGAGTCGCCCCCAGCCTGCTCATCATCAAGTTGGCCTGTCATGCCTCCCTTCTGAGGGCCTCATTAGCCTTAAGTTACATTGACAACTGGCCTCACTGCACAAAACATGCAGGATCATGCAGGGGCCTGCTTGGACGATACGTGATGAAACATGTAGATTTGAGAGCAGAGTTATTTGCTGAATCAACACAGGATTGTGGCAGGGAACGTGCACAATTTTGTCGTTTGATGGTTTTTGCACTACTCACATCAAGCCTGTTGGAGCTTCTCACACCTCCGCCCAATAGCTTTGACGCCAGCTGGACATGACTGGTTTGCTCAATTGGCTCGACTTTTGGCACGTGAGCCCGAGCACTCTCAAGGCCCACTGCCCCACCCGCCTTGACGGCGTGAAGCTTGACTTTTCCACGTCGCCCTTGGCCAGGAGCGGTTGTGGCGCGCGCTGCGCTCTTGGGCTGAGCTGCGGGCGTGCGGCCGCCCAGGGCAATATTTGTTGCTTTCGGTGCCCCAGCATCTGCCGAGCAGGAAGTACAAGGAGCAGCCAGAGCCAGTTTTGGAGGCCAGAGCGGCTTTGCCGCACAATGCTGCACTGCTCTTGGTCAACACGACATGTGCGACGGGTTTTTCCGACAAGTCCTGGAGGGGCTTCACTTTATCGCCCAGGGCACTGGCTCCAGCGGTGGCCGGAAGTCTGCCAGCGTGGCTCCAAGCGAGCTTGCCCAGTCCCCAGCACCAAGCCCCACATGGCGGTGGGTCAAAACCAACCATTTTGGGGTAGGTGCACTACCCATTTTAGTCTACTTTAGTGGGGATTGGGATGTTCACTGGGGGTACGGGATTTTGACCCATGGCCAAATGTGTTTCCAAGTCGCTGAGCGTCCCTGTGGGCCATGTCTTGAGCATATGAGGTGCCCAGCTGGCAGGATGCGATCAGGTGTGGCCATGTGTGGCCTGAGCGCTTGATTTTGCACATGAGCGCTCTGGCACAGGCCCTTGAGGCATCTCATCCGATTCCCGGCCTTGTCCGTGCCACACTCAGTGGCTCAGGGTCTGTTGCATCACCTGATGCAGCACATGATGTCACATGCCTCTGCTGTGCTTTCTTGATCCCTGCCAAGGCTGCTTTCTTTGCGAAGGAGATTTCGAAGAGCGGAGCCTGAGCCTTTGGGTGCAGAATTTGATTCCTGCAGCATGTAGCCCAGCTTGCCCAGGTGCTTTCCCACCAGGAGGTGGTCGATATCTTTTGTTTTCTGGCCCGAAAGCAGGCCCGAAAGCTGGAGCAATGCGTGCCAAATGGACCGTTTGCATGCACAGAAACAGACACAGATGCTCACCATCATAATCACGTGCGCATGCATGAAGACGTGCGCAGCCCGGCAGAGCAACAAGTAAGTTGCCTGCAGGTGCACCAGGACAGCAGTGCTGCACTGCGCAGATTCGCTGGAACACGCTACCATTCATGAGCCTTCAGTGGTGGATGCGCAGGTTTCTCCCCCGAGCATTGCTGAACATGCAGATTCTGATGCAAGCCTGGCATTGCTCAATGCCTCAATGCTGCTGCTCTTCTTTGTATGTTGTGAGCTTGGGGCAAGCTGGCTCCACACCGTTTTCTTTCATCCTATGGCGGCCATGGCGGCCTTTGCGCAGAAAAGCAACGAGTTGCGTGATGGCAGGTTCGGATCGGCGGCATTTATCGAGCTGATTGCCGCGTGCCGCGGTGCCGCCGTAAGTGGAGCTGAAGCAGTGGGGGGATTGCCTGAACTTCTCTTGATACGGTGAGGGAGCGGAAGGAGCAAAGTTGTTTGCCCCTCATATGTCTTTCTCGATGCAGGCTGGGCTGGTGTTTGGCACCGGGGCAGTTGGACCCAATGCTCGGTGAGGACCGAAAGCCAGGGCTGCTGACCAGTGACATGTTTGTGGTCTCAGCTGGTCTCAGCTGGTCTCAGCTGGTCTCAGCTGGTCTCAGCTGGTCTCAGCTGGTCTCAGCTGGTCTCAGCTGGTCTCAGCTGGTCTCAGCTGGTCTCAGCTGGTCTCAGCTGGCTTTGCCTGTTGCGACAACTGCTTTCGTGGTTCCTCGCCTGGCTTGCCCCAAACTCTTTCTGAAAGCAAAGCGCCTTTTCCAGGAGTTTGGGCTCACGGAAGGCCGCGAACTGCCATCACCCCAGCTTGAAAAGCAGCAGGTGTTCGCTGACCAAAGACATTGATTCCCAATTCGAAGCCGCCGGACCCAGGAGGCAGTGCCATTTAAACGCAAAAAGAAGCCAAGCGTGGACGCAGCCGTGCTTTCCCCTGTCTAAGGATGAGTCGAGTTGGGCTGCGCACCAAGATTTGTTCCAAGAGCTGGGCGAGGCTTGAACTCGAACCTCCGAGACTTGAAAAACAAATCAGGTCGCTCATTGTCGACGGCCGCGGCCTGTCAACTGCCGCATGGGGATCGAACGTGATTCTGGCAGGAGAGCGCATAGGGGTGACAAGAACCGTGTCTTTGATGGATGAAGTTGAATTACTTGGGAGCATGAGATGGGCAGTGGCCTTGAGCAGAGGCACCTGTAGGACCGGGCACGGGCTTCCATCTGGCCTTTGGCAACATGGGGTTCACTTCTGGGCCTGGCCTTGAGCGCGATCTGAGCTAAAGTCTGCACGCGGATTTTCTAAGGCGCCATGCCTGGACCATTTCGTGGCGGCCCATGGACTCTTTACAGCCTGGCCTTGGCCGAGACCCCAGCCTTTGCCCCGCAGCCTTCCCACATAGCGTTTGCTCTCAGAGTCTCCTGGTTTGCTGGCTCCAGCCGCAAAGTGACGCCGAACCGCATCGTTTTTTTTTTTCGGCTGGGGCGGATGCTGAGGCCGAACTCGTTGCTCCCGCGGCGGTGCGGGGCTTTGTATTTTGCGCTCTGTCTCTGTGGGCAGAGCTGAGGTGCTGCCGGCATTGCTCGAGACATTTCAGAGCCTGGTGCCAAGAGCATGGCAGCAAGGAGCAAAGGTAGCACACCATCGCAGCAGCATTCTATCACTCCAACCCACCAACCCACCAACCCAGCAACATGCCAGCAAACCAACATAACAACGTACCAACACACCAACGCACCAAACCGCAAAAACACCAGCACACCAACAATGACGCCAACAGTGCCAACAGCACCAACACCGACACTGACATTCACAGACACACACGAGAGCCCTGGGTCAAGGAGGCATTGGAGCAGCATGTGTTCATCAGGCTTGTCGAAAGAACCACCTCATCCTCCGTGCCGCTCTTGGCACAAATGTGCCTGACCAATTCCAGGCCCTCTCCCAGCTAAGGCGGTATTTGGGTCAACTGGAGGTACCACAGCTGCAGGCCAGGTTTGGACTTCAAAGTTTGTATCCAGCATTGTGATATATGGGAGGCCCAGCGCTAGTTGCGAAGTCCGCAGTTGCAGCCGGGTCGCCGAGTAGCTGCGGGGTTGAGAGACGTGCGAATGATTTTCTATGTGCAAGACAGATCTGCAGTGCAGAACATAAGGTTGTTCAACCTGCTTGGGAAGAGAGACGAGCAACGTGCTCCCTGTTCCCCCTCTATGCACGTTGTCTTTACACGCAGATATTCACACGTATGTGAATACACGCGTGTGTGATATATATATATATAGTACATATAAATATACATTGATATAATATGTTATGTATCTATCGCCACCCCCACCCAAAAAAAAAGAAAGAACACAGAACAATAAACCCAAGAGCATATCTTTTATCGGGTCTTAGCTGCATTTGGCCTCCTCTCACCCAAAACAATCTTCAACAAATAGCATTCTTGGCTTTTGGGAATGTTGCTTCCCTATATGTTTCAGCCATGGGGGGGGGGGGTAGGTTTTTTCAAAGTTGTTTTTTGGTACAGTGGAACTGTCGCGCAACATGACGCAAATTGCGCACCATTTTGGCCATCATTTGAGCAATCAAAAAGAAGGAAGCAAAAACGCAAAACCAAAAGCCAAAAATAAAAACAACGCCTATCCCATCCCCACCATGGCTCAAAGTTGTGTTTTTCCGCCTTTGTTTTTTTTGGTCCAGTACAGACATTGCACAACATAGTCGCACATGTTTCGCACCATTTTGCGAACCGAGCTGAGAGCCTCGGACAGGCACTCTGGCTTGAAATCTAGACTCAGGTTTTTATTCGCGCAACTTTGGATCTTGGGTCCAGCCCAAAATGACGTTTCAATATGTTTTAATGTTTCCAGAAGCTTTGCTTGCTTCACAGGCCCTTCATGCTCGATCTAGTAGGTGCCCAGCTTGTGACCCCCTTTTGTGAGGGGTAAAGTGACACTGCGCGGCTTGGCCTTGCTTTGCGGGGAGGAACGATGATCTGACACAGAACATACCGCTTCTGGCATTTTCGCCAAGGAGCAGGCTTAGATAAGGGCAATGAACCTTTTGAAATTGAAGTTGATGCCAATCCGAATAGCTGCTCTTTGAATGCATAAAGACATGTGGAACAGCAGGATGTTCAATGATTTTAATTGACTGTAGTCTAGAACCAACAAGACAAACGACATAAACTCGGCAGGACGTGCTTCACAGGGATGCAGAAATGCAAACAGAACTGCGCAAGGACATGGAACATCTTCATAACTATTTTGGATTTCAATTTCAACCAGCAGTTAAGACAGGAGTGAGTTCAGATCCCCAGAACTGAAGGTTTCCTGCTCCCCCTGCAAACTCATAAACGATCGCAGAGCTGTTACCTCACGTTGAAACTGCGCTGCCAAGGTGTACCTTGGCACTAGTCTAACACTGAAAAGTTGAGCGTTTTGAGCTGGAGCTGCCAATCGGCTACTACAAGTGGATAAGATTCCAAATTCAGCCTGCTGGAAGAAATCCTGGAATATCGTGAGTCCAATTTTCCTTCAAGTAGCTTTGAAGCCGCACTCCTCAACGCAAGATTCAAGATTCTGAAGGACGATTTCTGGAGAATCGTGAATCTCAGAACGCTGAAAATGCGATTGTAGGATTTGGGGGGTTATGTTGTTTTCATCAGCTGTCGTTGTCTCCGGTTGGTCTGCCTGGTTGTTAAACGGTCAGACGCTCGCAGAGTTGGATTCGCAGGTCCCATCTGGACTTCCGGATATGCCAGCTGGCTTCGTACATTCGGGATAAGCCGCAACGTGTTTTGGCTAAGTCCAAATGTAGGACTGCGTTTGGCATGGCAGCCGGCGCGGGCAAGCCACTGAGGCCGCCCCGCCTCTTAATCGTACAGGCCTGGGCTCATGCGGACGGGGTCCGACTTGTTGCCTTGACTGCGATTGGGTTGGATCTTTAGACTTTAACTTTTTGGGAAATAAAGTGTCTCCCACTAAACCCACAAACATGTTAAACTTTTTGCAGGGGGTTCAACAGCAACCAAGTTGCATGCAAACATCTTTGCGCCAGGGCCGGTGGCACTGCCAACTTCACTTGCAGCTGGTGCGGGCTGGGGCCTTGGGAGTTGATGTCGCGGCGCCGCTCCAGAAGCTGGCCCCGAATGTCGTCAGTTGGCCTGCCGGGATGGGATTGAATCATAGGCGTCCTTTTTAAGTTAGTTTAACTAGAAATAGATGGTGCTGGTTGAGATGGGTTTCATTCCATTCACCAGGGCCATCTATTTCGCCAAAAGGACACATGGATTAAACACCCTCGCACGCGCAGCTCTTGCGTGCAGCTCTTGGCTGCAGCCGTTGCCAAGGCTCAGGTGCCGGGACAGAGGAGCCTTCAGCGCGGTTTTTGGATTGGACGTGACACACTTAGACGGCCGGGGCTGGAATGACGCCTTGTTGGTGATGTACATAGACAGGTTTTGAGCGTCCTGTCTTGGATGTAGTTGGTGTTTGGTCGCGGATGTGCACACCCCACATTCACATGTGGCATTCGAATCATTCCAGGATGCCCAACCTACAAAATAGCAGCCACTGATCCGGCCCTGGATCTAGGTCCTGCATCGTCTTTGGCGTGAAACGGGAAGTGGCGACGGAGGGGCGTTACGCTAGTCTCTTACCGTGAGAGGGCATCGCTGTTTGCTTGTGGGGCGTGCCTGACTCTGCGCTGCTGTATTCTAAGGTGGCGTGGGAAGAGGACCTTTCCTCAACCGATCTCATCAGGACGGCCACTGGTTTCTAGCAAGGCTGATGCTTTTGAGCTGGCCAGATTTTCTATCGTGTTGGACTTCCCCTCGCGCACAATCACGTGCGCATCTCGATCTTTCTTGAAATGTTGACATTGGAGAAAGCCATCCAGGACCTGACACTTCAGGTATATTGCAGACCGCGGTGGAAGATGCTGGTCAGCTGCTCTTTCACATGAAGGTAGGAATAGCTCTTGTGCTTTGGGCACAGCCAGCAATGCTCGGACGGCAGGTCCTGTCTATCCTGTCATTGCAGCCTCCGGACCTCACTTCTTCTCCATCGAGTGCCAAGCACGTCAGGCTTTGGTCTTGCATGCGTGCTGTTTGCGGTAGGTACGGCTGCCACGTTTGATGGCCTCAACCTTGCCAGCGCCTTCTTGTACAATTAAGAAATGTCTCGAGCGAACAGGGCAAACTGGGGTAAGTCCATAAGACCCTCTCCGGCTCAGTGTCACCTTTTCAGCGTAGAAATGATGCCAAGAAGCACACAGGGCCAATACATGGCCCATAATTCATGTGCAACCTTTATTGCTGGTGCCCGCTTGTAAATCGCTCGCTTGCTTGAACTTGAGCATGCGCTCGATCACAATTCTGATCACCGCGGTAAAATGACGTCATGTGTGTCTTCGTGCTTGCTTGAGGCGACGTGCGTGCGTGCGTGCCTGCGTACGTGCCTGCCTGGCTGGCTGGGTGAGTGGGTGGGTGGGTGGGTGGGTGTGAGTGTGTGCTTTTGTGCTGCGCGTCATGCTCTTCTTATCGGCGCTTTCGGCCAGTCAAGTTTTGCAGGTTGGGCGGATATTAGGCAGGCATTCCACGTGCAACTGAGCCCACCAGAAACCATGGGCAGGTATAGTCCTTCTGGCACCTAGGCCATGTTATGGCACGCGCGCTTCAAAAGATTTGCTTTGCCGAGAAACCTGTTCCGTGCTGCGAGGGGCCTAGCCCAAGGCCTTAATTACACCTCATGCGGTCGCTGAGCAGCTGATCAGCCTCAAGCCATGTCGCTTGCTATGTCGTGCATTCCATTTAGACTGACTCAGCATGTGGGTTTCTCAGTGGCTGCCTGGCTCAGTGGGGCTGTGCAATGGTTCGGGTGTTCTTGGTGTTGGTTGAAGCTGCTTGCGCACATGAAGCTCTTGCTTGGAGCGTGCCTCTTCCGCATGTCTCGGTGCGCCCTAGGTCGGCTTCTCGTCCGCTTTCCCCGACGAGCCTCGTGTTGGGTGAGGATGAGGGATTCACCGTCCCAGCGCAGCATCCGGTGCGAGATGCGCTGGTCCTCGTCCCACCCAAGGCGGAGCAGGAACTGGCCGAGCTATCGAGGAAGCGGAAGAGCGTGGCAGGAACCGGAATGCAATATATTGAGTTTCTAGGTTTGCGGCTCGTCCTTTATCCCGAAAGGGGCACAATTGGATGGCAGGTGGAGGTAGAAAGCGCGGTTCCCGCTGCGGTGGAGTTTTGGGAGCAGTACAAGGGTATCCGCAAATCAGACCTACTGGTCAAAGTGGACGGACGAGAAGTTGCGCACATGGACGGGGAGCTTCTGGAGAAAACTTTGTTTCGCTCCGTCAAAGGCCAGCGCCAGCTGGTTTTCCGGCGCTCTGCCATGAATCATTTGCGCTGGCTGCGAGAGGGTCCTCTTTGCGATCCTGCGCGGTGGGAGGAGCAAAGGGCTGAGCCCAAGGTTCTGAGTGGACTGCAGCGTCTAGCGGAGGAGTTGCGAGCAGAGGAGGAGCGAAGGCTGGTGATGGAGCAGCAGACCGCTCTGGCGCAGGAGTTGGCTGCCAAGCTGATAATGACACAGGAGCGTGAGAGGGAGTACGTCCATGCCGAAGCAGAACTCTATGCAGCGAAGAATCTTCGGGATGAGAAGGAAGTGCGAATGGAGGCAATGGTGGAGCAAATGGCCTGGAAAATGGAAGAGGCTGCTTTGCAAAGGCTTGCTTATGAACATGAGGTGCAAATGGCAGAAGCAAAGGCGGAGGCAGATGCCTGGAAACGAAGCAAGAACAAAGGCTTGGAGGATGGGCGAGAGCAAGTCTGTCCAGAGGCATGTGCACGCAGAGGTAGTGTTCGCCATTTTGCTCATTTTGGGAGCTTATTGCGACATGCTGTCAACGAAAGACGTCCTCAGGTCAAACCACAGTGCGCCCTCGTGAGGAGTTCTTGGAAAGGAGCTCTGAGGAGTTGGAGTCTATGGAAGCGGAGGACTGTTCGGGGTTTGCATCGCGCACAGGAGCATATGATGCGTCTGGTTTTGGAACATCGACCCAGGAACAAAAGATGCTCAGGACGAGGCGCTCCCTGGAGGCACGAAAGTTCTTGCTACGTCAACCTTCGGGTCACACAAAGACATGGCCATGGATCAAAACTAAACCACCCGGGGACCGCAGGCTTTAGTCCATGTGTCCATTTAACAAGGTTCCATTTTGGGTACCTTTTTTTTGACCCACAGCCATATGATGAGAGAAGCGACCATTTTCTCCCTGCTTGGGCCCGTGATGCGGATCCCCACTCGGTGATTTGGCAACTGCGCGCTCCGGATCGACCGCAGAAAAAGTTGAAAGCCAAGCGCCTGGCGCTGGACGCCGAGGCGCAGGGGGCGTGGGCATGTGGGGCCGTGGAAGAGGGCATCGACGTCGTTGCTTTGGGCATCCCAGCCCCAGTTTTTCCAAGGGGCATGTTGAAATGTCCTCGAAGGATGTGCCGTTGCTTGATGCCCATGTAACTAGCCGTGCCGTACCATGCATATGCAAGTCTGCAGCAGTGCAGGCGGGCGGGGGCAGGGTACACTTAGTCTTGGGAGCGTCTACGACTACTACTGCCAACTCCTACTACCTACCACCTCGCGCACCTTCAACCTTCTACCTTCAACCTTCAACCTTCTACCTTCCACCTAGTACTGCACAACTATTGCCACAACTACGACGACGATGACTACTACTACTACTACTACTACTACTACTACTACTACTGCAGCTGTTACTGCTGCTACTGCTGCTACTGCTGCTACCTGCGCACTAGCCGCCAGTACAAGTGCTTGTCCTAGTCCTACTTCCAGTCTTTCTACCATGCGGGAGGTGCATAGACTCCCGTAAACGAAGGGCAAACCAACACTAAACCATTCTAACCCCTCCAGATCATACCCTCAGCTTAAGCCCATATTGAGCGAAGCATACCTCCACAGTTTTGATGCTAGTGGTGTCAACAACGATGAACTCCTGAACTGAATTTCCACATCCTGCCATCTCTCCATTGTTGGACGGCGCAAAATTGCTGCCATGGCAGGCGCTAAGTTCTGGTTGCATATGGGCGTGCATTTACATGTTTCAATAAGTGTGATCTGCAACCTGACCTAGCATGTGGGCACCCACCCGTATGTATATATCAGGTGACATATATATATATATACACATATATTTGTACATATGCAAATACATATATGTAGATGTGTGTGTGTGTGTGTGGTGTGTGTGTGTGTGTGTGTGTGTGTCTGTGTCTGTGTCTGTGTCTGTGTCTGTGTCTGTGTCTGTGTCTGGGTCTGTGTGTGTGTGTGTGTCCGTGTGCGTGTGTGCTGTGTGCGTGTGTCCGTGTGTGTTTGTGCGTGTGTTTGTGCGTGCGTGCGTGCGTGCGTGGGTGTGTGTGTGTGTGTGGGTGCGGGTGCGGGTGCGGGTGCGGGTGCGGGTGCGGGTGCGTGCGTGCGTGCGTCCGTGCGTGCGTGCGTGCGTGTGTGTGTGTGTGTGTGCTTGTTTGTTTGTTTGTTTGTTTGTTTGTTTGTTTGTGTGTGTTTGTGTGTGTCTGTTTGTGTGTGTCTTTGTGTGTGTGCGTGTGTGTGTGTGTGTGCGCGCGCGCGTGTGTGTGTGTGTGTGTGTGTGTGTGTGTGTGTGTGTGTGTGTGTGTGTGCGTGTGTGTGTGCGTGTGTGTGTGTGTGCGGAGTGACCCCGGGCCGGCTCTGTCGGAAAATTTGACCTCAACTTGCTTATCATAGAACAGCGGTCACATTTAACCAGGAACGAGGTTTCACTAAAGGGAAGACAGCGGTCAGATCATAGAGACGTCTCACCACTGATGTTTGCGTTTGCTTGCCATTTGTTGGATTCGTTGATACCTTGCCGTTGCATGGTGTTGCTTGTTGTCTGATACGTGTCTCTCAAGATGGAAGCGTGAAGATTGAGAGTCGATTGTGTAACCATGTCTCGACGTGATGATCGTGATAGATCCAGGACTCGGCGCAGACGTGATCGGAGTACTTCTCCTCAGGCTCGTAAAGCACACCGACGTGAACACAATGACCACCACGTCTCGGAAGGCATGGATTGGAACAACCTGGTATCTTGGCAACACAATTCCGGCTACAACTCTGCCAACAATTTCCCGATGATGCCCACCAATTTTCAATCGACTCATAGTCCCACACAGCAATTCCAACATCCAGCAATCAACTACATGATGCCGATCCCTCCAGACCCCACGCCAACGAAGTTCATGCCACCCGTGATGCCACCACCGGTCACTACCCCGCAACCTACACCGCCACCTGGACCTCCTGCGGCTCTACCGGTTCGTCCTCAGAAAGCCTGGCTTACACCATCGCCTGACTGGACACCTGGAGAGGGCATGTTTGATGTCAATCAGCTCTACAACTTCAGCCTGCCCATGACCGTTGCCAACACTCCGCATGGCAACCTGCGCGACATGTCAGGCATGGATATTCGTGACGTTCGCCTGGTTCAGGTTATTCATGGGGGCCTCACCAACTGGCTGCTCCGACCGTTCGCTCACGGCAGATTCGTGACATGGGAAGGCTTTCGCACTCGCACCGAGGCCTTACTTTGGAGTACCTGTTCCAAACTACTACGACGATCACAGTCGATCAACCTGCTCACCCTGGAAAAGGACCTTGCCAACTCGCTGGGTCTCAACATCGATGACTTCAATCAGCGGATCAAGGTTCATGACCATTTGGCCAGCTTGGTACTTCAATTTCTTCAGCAACACCACGCTTCTCTCACACCTTCCACCCAGACAGATGACATGGTCAAGAAGTACAATGATCTAAATCGTGCGCATGAGCTGCTCCAGGCTCAGTATTCAGCATCGCTGCGCGCTTCGACCTCTCCCACGATGGCAAGCCAGAAAGATGATGCAGAGTTGGTTACACCGCCACCGGTCAACCACACACAATCCTCGTCACCTGCCAGCTCCCTCCCTACAGTCAGCGCAGCGGCCCTTGATGGCAAGTCGTTTGATAGCGCGGTGCAACCCCGGATCATTCAGTCTCTTCACGGAGTGTCTTCACCGCCGTCCAAGCCGGCGGCGTCACAATTGCTCACCATGCGCAGCACGCCGGAAGAA